TTCCCAGACTTTCAGGCGCATCTTGGACACCGGTCAAAGAAACATCAGGGCATAAAATGGATATTTTATTCTGACCAATAGGTTGGCCAAGTTAGCATCTCAGATCCAATCAGGAGCAGGATCCAAAGTTGGGGTACAGATGACCAATAGAAATGTAGTACTTTTATGGCTCTTTGTTTGTACCATTATAAAATGTATGTACATGCATCTCCTCGTGATCTTCTCTGCTCTTAAGAGAAGTCCCAGCTGACCATTTCTTTGCTACCTTGCGTCTTATCCTGTTGTCCTCGCCGGAAATCTTGAACCCAGAATTGGCCTGTAACAGTTTCACTTAGTAGAACAAGTAATGGCCTTAGGTTGTAAGACCTGACAGGACTTTTTGGAGGTCATTAATTTGTAGGTTGACCATAAATTGCAAATGACATAAAATGATAACAATAGGATCTACTTTCAGAGCTTTTGCCTCCTCCTTACTTTCTGTAACACAAGCACCTACTTCTAAGTCCTGTTTTCTTCTCCTGCTGCCATGCATTTATCATTCAAATTTTCTGTATCAGAACAAATTAGAGTGGTATTAAGGGATGGAAGAATTTAATGGCTGAATATAATTCAGTCAGAAAAATTGACTAAACAAGTAGGAGTATATAGAGAACTGATTAAATTTGAAGATATTATACAAAAAAGGAGGCTGTAGAAGGCAATAAAAGTAGATAAGGAATAATAGGCATAATATACAAGATATTAATAGAGGCTGAATATAAATTAAATGGTAAAGAGGTTTGGAAAAGCGTTTTAAGGGAAGAAATCAGCCCAGATGTAAGAAGACGTGGAATACTATAAAAGAATAATGAAGAGTTTGTCTAGAAGGATTAATGAATATTAATAGTAATATGGAGATGGTATTTAACACCAGTGAAAATTTAATGAATAAATAAGTATTACATGTATGCTGAAGATGTAAAAAAGGAATTGGCACCTCTTTTCATATGTGGCGGATGTGTGAAAAGATGCAGAAATATTGGGCAGTAGTATTTAAAGAGATCAATTAAATTATGGGCTTGAATATACAAATGCATCCAAGTATTGTCTTATTAAGTATGCTTAGAAACACCAATATACTGTAGATTACTTGTTATGTAACAAGCTCCAACTGAATTTTGGCAGATCTAAAATCATAGTTTTTGGCAAATCATTGACGCCCTTTTCCTGGTCTTTCAACAGTAATACTATCCAGCAGGTTAGAGAGTTCAAGTACCTGGGTGTCTTTTTTCACTAGAGACTCACAGGCAGACAGCAGTTAATTCAGCAAAGCTTTCAGCGCAGGCTATCTTCCGCTTCCACCGTACTTGGGGCAATTCATACATCCCAGCTACGCTGCAGATTTTTAATGCCAAATCTGTAGCATAGCTTCTTTATGGTGTCCCCATTTGGATGCCTGCATTTCACAGCTCTATGGAAAATTTCTGTATAAAATGTTTGGCCTGCCTCGCTGTGTTCCTTATCTGACCCTATGCGTTGAAGCTGGCCAGCATAGGCTTAAGGGCCCTGGCTTGGCTCAGATTTTTCAAGTACTGATTCAGAATATATATTTTTTCCTGGCTTGGCTCAGATTTTTCAAGTACTGGTTGAGTATTTTTTTTTCTCAGCCCAGGACATCCTGTTTCAAGCACTGCTCTCTGACAATGTATTTCCAAAGGGTCTGGCCCTATTCATCAAGAAAATCAAGACTCTCAGGTTGTCACCAGATCTGTTGGACTCAATACCCCCATCCCAGGTATTCCACATAATCAAAAATAGAGTCTTGGATATTGAGGGGCAAACTCTGCATAGCGCAGCACTAAAGATTTTTCTCTCTGGATATTGAGGGGCAAACTCTGTATAGTGCAGCACTAAAGATTTTTCTCTATATACTTCCAGCTTCTCCTCTCCCATGTCAGGAGACCAGATTATCTTTATTTTTTAGATCATCCCCAAGACTGCCAGGTATTCACCCTTGCTAGGTGCAATGTTGTACCTTCCAGTTTGGTGCAGGGCAGATTTATGGGATTACCAACAGAGCTGAGAGTGTGCCCTTGTGGCCAGGAAGCTGAATAATTGCAGTTGTTTCATTGAATGTGGTATCAGGATATCCACCTGCAATACTTGAGCCCTGTCCTTTTCTCCCACTCTGGCTGGGGTGACCCAGATAAAATCTGGCACCTGCTGAGTAGCACTAATAAGGAACTTACCCATACAACAGCCAGATATATCCATTCCATCATGCACAGGTGTCACATTATGCTGTCACACACCATTGAGCCCTAATGATGTCATCTAGTTATTCCCTGGCATATATGATTTTTAACATTTTACCGTATCTCACTCTCTTGTACTGTATGCCAATAAAGGTTATGAAACTGAAACGATAATGGGGTATATGATTTTTAACATTTTACCGTATCTCACTCTCTTGCATTGTATGCCAATAAAGGTTAGGAAACTGAAATTATAATGGGAAAAAGGGAAATAATTACTATTATTGTAATGATTGCAAGACTGATGTTTGCAAGCAACTTGAAGAGTAACGATCTGTTTACTATGGAGGAATGGTATAAGAACAGTCCAGTGACCTGTTAGAAAGCTTTTAACATTTTACCGTATCTCACTCTCTTGCATTGTATGCCAATAAAGGTTAGGAAACTGAAATTATAATGGGAAAAAGGGAAATAATTACTATTATTGTAATGATTGCAAGACTGATGTTTGCAAGCAACTTGAAGAGTAACGATCTGTTTACTATGGAGGAATGGTATAAGAACAGTCCAGTGACCTGTTAGAAAGCTTACAAATTTTATTTTGCATGTTTTGCGGCATACCTCATCACATTCTTGGAGCACTTCCTCAGGCAGATACGTAGTCATGGGGTTGGGTGGGGCGAATGTGAAAGAGAAATGCAAAAAGACCAATTTTTCAACCTATCTTTACAGTGGTGATGGGAAGGACATTGTGGTGAGGACGATGATAGGCCACCCATCAGTGGACTGTTGCTCTCTCATCCAGGGCCTGTGCGGCATACCTCATCACATTCTTGGAGCACTTCCTCAGGCAGATACGTAGTCATGGGGTTGGGTGGGGCGAATGTGAAAGAGAAATGCAAAAAGACCAATTTTTCAACCTATCTTTACAGTGGTGATGGGAAGGACATTGTGGTGAGGACGATGATAGGCCACCCATCAGTGGACTGTTGCTCTCTCATCCAGGGCCTGAGGGTATTGAAACAAATAAGTGCCAGGTAAATTAACAAAGGTGGCGNGGGGGGGGGGGGGGGGGGAGACTACTAAGGAAGAATGAAGTTCCATCTGCTCTATAGGTTCCCAACTGAACTATTTAAATCTGCTGTGTAATCAGAAGAAGTTTTCTTTTTAAACTACACTTAGTTTTCCTCACAAACTGCTAAACCTCAACATTTACCTCTTATCCCTTGGTGAAAGTAACAGAGGGATCCCAGGCTGTACCTGTCAATCCTGCCCCAGGGAAGGGAACTGGGCAGAACTGAAGTGTTGCATGTTAATCCTCCCCTGTTCTAATAAACCCTGCTTTGTTACAACATTCCTGTCTGGAGTTTATAGAGGACAGGATGGAGGAAGGGAGCCCATCTGACTCAGCTGGGGTCGGAGGGGCTCACAGACATCCTGGCATAGATAAGCCGATTAAGTCATGTAGGTTGACAGAAACCCTGTGTCCAATCCAAGTAAAAGAGATAAGAGTTTAACCTCAGGATGAACTCCTGTGGGGGTCGGATTGCAATCAGAAAGGCCCAAGGGAATAGAAATCAGTTTGACAAACACTGGTTTTAAAAATGTAAATCCTACATTACTGCTACTTCTTATTCCTCTTCTACTGGAGGTGGCAAGGCATCATGGCTATTCAGATTTTGGCTGCTTTAACAGCGATGTAACTGTATTCAGACCAGTCTTCAAACTCTGAATGGAAGATACCTTCAACTGAAAAACCCTTCCTGCACTCGTTTGTTTTACCTTAAGTGATCAGTGATACCAAACGGATTTTTTTTTGTTTCTGATTTCACCTGAAGTGACGGATCCTGCACTGCAGGATTTAAACATGAGTATTTGCTGAAGAAAAGCGAGCCGAGGAGCCAGTAGCGTGTTATAGCAAAACATATATATATATTTTTGCAGCTGAAAATAACGAGTTTTATTTGGAATAAGCTTTCGGGGATTGCACAGCAGCCCGCATCTTCAACCATTTTACCAGGTTCCATTCATCTTCAACTGCTTTTTCGTGCATCTAAAGAAACAGAACCAACATGAATTTGACCCAACTCCGGGAGGCAGTGGAGGACAGGAGCGCCTGGCGTACTCTGGTCCATGGGGTCACAAAGAGTAGGACACGACTTAACGACTAAACAAACAAACAAACAACAACAAAGAAACAGATTTTAAGGTGCCGCACAGGAACAATAATAATCGCGAGCATAACTTATAATAACAATGCTATGTTGTACAGCACAATGTTATACAGTACTCCAAAACAAGATCCAATGGCGTTCAAAGGAGCATCCTTCCAGGAAAGGTTTTAGACAGGATTTCTTTCTGCTCTTCTTTAAAAATTCCACAAAATATTTCGGAATTTTGATTTTTTTAAAATGTCTGTAATACTTAGCGGAAGCCACTGCCTGGACGATGATTAGAAGCAGAAGAGGATGCGCGGAGCCAAGCGTTGTGAGCACCTGGCGCCGTCGTCCCGCCCGCGACTGCCAGGGCTACGGACTTTCCTGCTGCTGCAGATTCCTCGCAGCCCCGCCCACCCCTCGGGCCCGCCTCCGCCTTCCGCCCTCCATTCCCACCCCCTCCTCACACGAGGACGGGCTGATCTCGCGCTCTGAGTTCCATTCGTCAGCTTGGCTCAGCTTTTTCCTCCCCCTCCGCCGCTCGATTGGCTCGGTGCTCGCTCGCGACGCCGCACTCGATTGGTAGGCGCTCGACCAGGTAACCTGGCCTTGGTAGTAACCCGGAGCAGCAGCAGCAGCGGCGGCGGCTGTAGGTATAGTAGGAGAGATCGCCGGCGGGTTTGGGTCGTCGTTCCGTCCGGGACCAGACCCCAGCCAGTTCGGCACCAACTACTTCCCACCACACTCCGGTCCTTCCCGGGACTCGAGTGCGCCAGGCCTTGGTCACTCTCTGCATCAGGTAGGCTCTGGGCCTAGAGAGGCTCTGGGCCTGGTTCTTCTTGAGGGGGGGGGGCGAGGTTACCAGGTTCTCTCATGCTGGGGAGAAGCCGCAGCCAAGGCGGCCCTCAGGGGTGGGCCGGAGGGGGGAGGGATTTGGTGGCAAGAGGGGAAGGCTCGTAACTGAAGGGCGAGATGGATGGGTCACAAGGAAGTAAGGCTCGCCCGGCGCCGAGCTTCACCACCCCGCCCACCTTAGGATTTCGGGCGCCCCGTCCTCCTCCCGACGAGGTTGCCCGGTGGCCGCCTTTCCTCTCTCCGACCGAGAGAATGAGGTCGCCGCAATCTGGTTGCCCCGGGGACCCGTTCCTTGACAGTAAAGAAGGCCCGTCTGTTGGGGCATTTCCGGAGCCGTCTTTCTGGTGAATAGGAGGCCTTTATTTAGAGGCGGACCTTGTTTGTTATTTTCTGATTTTCAAAATATCACTTGAAGTATGCAAATTCTTCCATGCAATCTCTTTTCTTTCTCTGTAGTTTTTCCTCTTCCGTGGTGGCAAAAAAGGGGTGGCTCTATCCTAAAACGTTGTTATAGTACAGTCCTGTGCACTTTTAGCCGAGACTAAACCCAGTTCAGCACAATGGGATTGTATTGATGGAAACGTTTTAGTGGTGAGCCATTATTGTGGATGCTACACAGATTTCATATGGGACTAAATGTGTAATCTTGTGTATACATATATACTTTTGAATTAGCTTCACTAAACCCATTGGCTTAATGCTCAAATGCTCAGGATTGCATCGTAATGCAGTTCTTTGCCAATTGGGGTGTGTTTATGTTTGTGCTTGATACTCTGAAAGAAGAAATGGGACCTACCTTCTCCTCAAAAAATGACAGGCTAACATTGAAGGTAGGCACAATAGAAATAGGTAAGCGAAAAACCTTTATGGCTAAATGCTTTCCTTTCAATTTATCTTTGAAATGTAGATTAACTTTCGTTATTTTAAAATGCTGTCTGAACCCACTTGTTATGATGTATAAAAAAGAAAGATAAATTTTGCCATTGATTTCTAAGAGATGTATCTTAGAATATATATCGGATGGTTCTCTGGACCAATTTTGTTGTGCACTAAATATAAAATTATTAGAGGCTGCGGAGATCCAAGCACTGTACCCTAGTTAATGCAGAAAAACAACATTTCACTAGGAAAGAATGATAGCATTGTTTCTCTAGAGATGCAGTTTCCTCACCAGTTATTACATCTAATCATATGATAAAATGGTTTATTGGATATAGCTATGTGGATATCATGTGCATTTATTTTTTGTAGATTGGAGTAACGTAACTTTGCTGTACAAAGGCGTTGGAACAATGATATCCACAGAGTTTACATTTTGCCCTAGCTAACAGTTCTTTCTACTTTTTTAGTTTTGCCTCTTTAGTTTAGTTTTGAGGATACCACACCATTTCCCCCAACATGCAATGCTCTGAATAAGTAAATATCTCTTAAAATGTTGCAAATTTTCAGTCTCATGAGTAAAATTAAGAAAACATGCCCTTTAGGCTACATGGGTATCTCCCAGTCCTCAACAACAAGGCATTTCCTGCTATTTTTATGCCATTCTGTAGCTGGTATAGCATTATGCTATCTTGTCTGTGTGCATATATATCTGTGTATGTTGTGTCATCGAATCAAAACTGGGTTAGAGCAACCATAATGGAGCTTTCAATGTGAGAGAGTTATTTATTTAAAGAAGGGTTTTACTAGAGCCATCCTTGCTGAGTTTTCATTGCTGAGCAGGGATTCAAACCCAGGTCTCTTGAGTTCTGGTCCTTCACTTTATCTAGTAGACCACAGTGGGTATCGAGAGTCATAAAGTGGTGTGAAACTGCTAGCATAATGCAAAAGAAAATGTGTTTGACAGATACTTTTCAAGATCACCCAAATGCAAAAATAGGCAGTACTGTACCTTTATAGACCACTAAAAATCATCACATAATAAACATGCAATCCTCTCCCTTTTGGGGCACAATATAATAAAACAGATGCATATAATTTACTATGCATATATTTTACTATGGTACTACAGTACTACTTTTGTATTAGAGGAAAGTAAAATTCATGATGACTTTTTTGACATAGGCCATCAGAAAAAAAATCTGAGGATGTTCTTGAGATTTCTGTTCTGGTGGTACAGTGAGAAGGGGCCTGACTCAAATGCGAAGAGACTATGAGCATTGTATGCTGTTCTTTGCAGGTTGAAGACATTATACTGATTAGGATGATGTGCTATCTGAAACACTACAGAAGTTAAAATGTATCCCTGTTCTGTTCTTCCCCTTTTGTAGTACTCTGCAGAAGTGGATGTTAACTTGAGGAAGTCAAGAATCTATTTAAAATGTGTCTTTCCTCTCCATACCAATGATATAGTATGGAGAAGAAGGTGTCCTAAATTCTGCCTTTCCGCATAAAGCTATAGAGTTTGAGATCTAAGTAGTTCAAGGCTGTATATGCTTAAAATAATCTGTTAGATAATTTGTGAATGCAAGCTTTTCTGCAGATATTCAAGGAAGTAAATTTACAAATGTCTTAATTATTTACTGAATTTCTATGATAATTAGTAAGTTATTCCACTTATCTTCAGTTACATTAAATTAACTTGGTCTACTCCAACCTGTGTAAGGATTACTGACTTTAATATTGTCTCGGAGGTTGTTAAATACTTGAATGGACTTGCCATGTTATTTTATTTGCTGTGTTTAAGAAGTGGTTCCTTCAGTTTCTCATTATAGAATCTGGCATTTTAGATGGTCATCAACTTTGTAGTTAATCTTTTGAATTATTTTCCACTTGCCAGTGCTCTTTTACTGAGATATTCAGGTAAACACAATCTGTGTGTTACCTCTCTGCTAGGAATTGTTGAGCAAGAGAAAATAACATCTTGAGCTTTGAAAAGTAGTGCTTGTGTTCATGCAGAGTATATGATGGCATTAGTTTTTTAAGCCGTATCATTCCTTGTTGCCTCATTTCCTTTGTTGACATTTTTCTTAAGAGTGTCTAGCCAGTCATTCCTGTTGTTTGTTTTTAATTATTTGTTAGTTCTTCATTTGAGATTATCTGGAGTTGTTTTAATTTAGCCTCCTATTTTTTTCTCATATGCAGTTGCATATAATTTATGAATCTGAAAAAATATATAATCTTACTGTTGTCATTACTGAAATTGTCTAGAGCAACATATTGTACAAAATACAAATTGGTCTAAAGAGTAACGGTCAGCAGGAAGTAGCAGGTTAATGCTTTAAGCCAAAGTACTGGAACATTTGAATGGTAGAGCTGAGAGGTTGCATACTGTGGAAACTACATAGTAGTAAACCTGTTAAATGAGCTTTCACTGTTTATTGCTAGTTTTGTTGTGAAACAAAGGCAATGGAAGTATAAATGCATTCTAACACTGTGTAATAATCAGTATTTATTAGAATATGGAAGTTAGAACACATAGATTTTACTTGTTTTGGCTACCTACCTGGTCTTCTAAGGAAGTTTGGGTGAGAGGACATTTACTTTAAGGTTACATGTCTGTTGAAAGAAGTATCTCTTTACATATATAGTGAGGCTTGTTCCTCAGTAAAAATGTAGGATGGGAATAGGGTTCCATAATATTTCTGGAAGTATTTTGAAATTCCAGAAAAAGCAAGTGATGAAGAATATTTGGTGTAGAAAAGACAGAGTCTTAGCATGCTGTTAGGATTGCATCCTAAATAAGTAAAAACATCAGAGTGAACAAATTTACACCTTCCAAATCCTGTTGGAGGGCAGCTCCATTCAGCCTTAGCATAATCAGTAGAGAAGAGGTACGCAAGCTGCACTCCAGCTACATTTCAAGATTGATGCACCATATTTTTCTGTTTATAACATGACCCAATGTATAAGATGACCCCCTTTTCTAAACCCCAAATTTGAAAATTTGCACGATCCGCACCCCTTTGGTCCTGAAGCCTTTCATGACTGCTTCATGATCAAAGGGCTACTTTACCCTGAGGCTTTACAAAAGGCAGGGAAAGCGGCTGCCTTCCTTGTATAAAATGACCCTCAATTTCTTTGTCTAATTATTTAAATAAAAAGTGTTGTTTTATACACGGAAAAGTACCGTAGTCATCCTTGCATCATAGGAAAAATTGACTCAAGAACATATTGTGAATTGGGCAGAAATTTTTATCCCCCGAGTGTAGAATTTTAAAAGTAAGATGAAAGTGCTATTTGCTGGATAGTTATGAAAGACCCCTGTTCTAGAGGTGGCAGTTTAGTGTAGTGCCAAGTTTCAGGCCTTTCAGTGCTTTAGTACCTTAGAAAATATTGATCAGAATCCTGTTGTACAGTGTGTGAATGGTATAACATTTAATGGCATATTGCCATAAGCAGGATGGATAAAAATCTGTGATTTTCAAAAATTGAATAATTTAATTCAATTTAAATAAATTTGATTTAAATCAAATCCACCCTGGCCATAAGTTGAGAAATCTCCATAGATATTAGCTATTACATGCTGAGTCATCTGAGTAGATATGCAACAAATAATGCCTACAGAAATTTAACATTTAATGGCATATTGCCATAAGCAGGATGGATAAAAATCTGTGATTTTCAAAAATTGAATAATTTAATTCAATTTAAATAAATTTGATTTAAATCAAATCCACCCTGGCCATAAGTTGAGAAATCTCCATAGATATTAGCTATTACATGCTGAGTCATCTGAGTAGATATGCAACAAATAATGTCTACAGAAATTTCTGTAGCCTCGTGGTGCAGTGGTTAAAATGCTGTACTGCAGCTAAAACTGTGCTCACGACCTGGGGTTCAAATCCCAGGTAGCCGGCTCAAGGTTGACTCAGCCTTCCATCCTTCCGAGGTCGGTAAAATGAGTACCCAGCTTGCTGGGGGGGGGGGGCAATGTGTAGCCTGTATAATTAAATTGTAAACCGCCGGAGAGTGCTTGTAGCGCTATGGGGCGGTATATAAGCC